ACCAGATAATGAAAAGTAGGAGTACCAACTATTTGGATTAAACTGAAAATTAAATCCAATTCAAATTTGGATTAGTTTTTGAATTTTTGATTTGGTTATGTATTTATATTTTTACTTTACTTGATTTTTTAATTTAATTTTGGATTCAGAAAAATAAAAATTGAAAAAATAAAATAACCGAATTATATATATATTTTATATTAATAAATTTTAATTAACTTTTTTTTTTTGAATGTGCACATAAATTTATTATCATTTTATAACCAATATTATTCCATCGAAAGAACAACAACAATATAGGTAAAATAACACATTAATTATATACTTAAATTTGTTATTAATTTTATTGTGATTATAATTCTTTAAACATAAATTATTATTTTTTCATATTTTACTATTGAAATTAGATTTCGAACTTTGAGATAATAGCAAATATTGAGCGGAATTAAACGAGTATCACATTACAAGCATCGAGTCAATTCGTTTTAAACTTGCCCTCAAAGTTATTACGAGGTCTACCGTTTCAATTTTTAATTACAATATATCATTTCATCGGAGCTCCAACGACAAATACTTATCGAAGGCATCGTTATTATATATGAGGGAAAAATCGTCTATTAATATCCCCTTCACAGGGTGTACTATTATTGTTGCTATTTTTATTTTTTCATGGAGTTGATTTGCCCAAATTCCTGGTGAGTTTTTCCTTAATTTTATCTTCAATTATATCTGTTTGGCACAATACCTGCGATTGAGCTCGAAATCTACGTATGGAATTGTTGAATTTGGTTTATTATGTGTAGGCAGAGGTTCTAGGGTTTGGAACAGTGGAGATGACGAGAAAAACGAGCTGTTGTGGTATTTGTGAGAATTCAAATCTACCTTCCGTTTGTACTCTTTGCGTCAATTACAGGTGATTCACCAAATTTAGCTTAAATGTTAAGTTCCTCGTAATGGAAGTTTGATGGGTGGGGGTTGCAAGATTCTAATTGTGGCGATGATATGTTTTTGGCAGATTGAATGAGTACAGCACTGTGTTGAAATCACTGAAGGGGAGGAGAGAAGCATTATGTGGGCAATTAAGTGAAATACTCTTGGCTAAGGTTTTCCCTGAGAAAAGTTCTTTCTTGTTATGCCTTCAGTTTATATCACCTGTGTTTTTATTACTTTCTACAAGAAGATGCAATTATATGTAATTGTTTCTGAAAGAGTTTCCAAATGACAATGGAATACTTGATCAATATTGTTTGTTATATCCAGGAGAATGAAATCGTAGTTGAAGATATAATACATAAGATTAATGTTGAATTGTTCAAATGGAGGAAATTTCATGACTCATAAGAGTGCTATACAATAGGAAGATGCTAAACAAAATAAAACAAAGGTTTTCTAGAATGGTTGTAAGACCGTCAATTTATCTGGGAGTGAATGTGGGGCAGTAAAGACTCAGCATATCCATAATATGAATGTCGTATAAATGCAAATGTTAAGATGTATATAAAGACATACAAGATTGGATAAGATCAGATACGGGCATATTCAATAGAAGGAGGTGCAAGCAATACACACGGAGGATAAGATCAGATAAGACAGCTTTTGATAGTTTAACCATGTTTTACATAGATCATGTGTACCGTCCCGTAATGCATCAATATGCTGATTATAGGTGAAAAAAAGGATGAGATGTATATAGAACTACTCTTAAGGGAAGTTGGAAGTTGTCTAAAAAGACCGATAATCTCTTTGGATCCATGTCATCTGTAGGGATTATTTTTTAAAAAATTAGACGCCCAACAGTCATGAAGGTGTAGGGAAGATAAAAAATCATATGAGCAATAACTACCTGTTGGACTCAATGAATTGTTGTTGTTTCATTCACTTGGTTCCAACTTTGAAATGAAGGTATAAGGAAGATCAAAAGTTGTATGTTAGTCAAACAGAGGTGTCTCACAGGAGTGTATTTTTATGACGTCCGATATTCTTAGAGCTTTTCTTTTCATAGTTTTAGACTTGTACATCCATGTAAATATAAATAAAGAGCCTGGTTTTAGAGGACCCGCTGTATATTTACCATTCTCAAAAAGAGAAGTTCTAGAGGACTAAGATTCTTCTTTTTTCTTTTGGAATGAAATAGACCCGAATAGGAACGATTTGGTGTTGAAATCTTTGCTCCAAAGTAGGTATATGTTCTAAGCAATACGAGAGCAATATGATGCATGCAAGGTTGCTATGATCCTTTTTTTTATAACAAAAATGCTTAACACAGCCTTGTTAAACAACTGAAAATTTGTTGGGATTGTTGTATTTTGATTTGCCGCCTGTAGGCCTGGCTATCTTAGATTGCTTCTGGTATAATGAGCTACTTTCGTGTTTTCCTTCTATTTTTTTTTTGAGGAAATACATAAAATCCCCCTTAAATTTGTCTGCAAGACTCACTTTAGCATTGTAACATTAAGAATGTTTAAATACCCCCTTAGAAAACTATCCTGTGAATTAAGTAATGTATTTTTACTAGTTATTTATGAAAGAGAACTCTTACCAGGTATACCTGTAGCTGAAATTTCTGTTCATGTACTTCCTCATTATTTTGATTTCGACATTTTGTACTTCCTTATTATTTTGATTTCGACATTTTGATCATATTCAGGGCAAGGCCGACGATCAACTTAGTTGGAGGGTGCCTCGGAATGAAAAATTGGCAAGATTAAGGGAAAAACTCCGACAGCAAAAGGAGCAAGTTTCACAAGGTCCTTGGTCCTGTCAACTAATGGCAGCTGTTCAATTTGATTTTAATTCATATCTTAACCTCTGGCAGACTAACACATATATTTACAGGGAAGGCGAAAATTGAGAAGATGTCTCATGACCTGAAAGTGCAGTACGAGTTGCTAGGATCAGCAACAAGGATGGTATAATTGAATCTTTCTTTTGTTTATTACATTTTGTTGTGGATAGTTTGATGAAATAGCCCACTGATGACTGAATCAAATCGTAGCTGGAAAAAAATCGTGCGGAGCAACTTGAGAAGTTTTATCCTAATCTTATCTGCACTCAGAATCTTGGACATGTGAGGAATTCTTCTTCTTTGAAACTTTCCAATCCGAAATTTTCCATGTTACTAATTCTATTTTATTGAAACTGCAGATGGCAATTACCTCTGAGCTTCTTCATAAACAGTCTGTGGTTGTAAAGCAGATTTGCAAGTTATTCCCTCAACGTCGTGTAAGTCTTGAGCAATTATATATGCTGGTACCATTGGCATGCACTATTTAATCCAAAACAGAAAATGGAATGATTTACATTTCTTAACCCTATAAAAGACTACAGTGAATAAATGAGTCTTAGTATGGTACTCATTTCGAGAGGCTATCCTTATTATATATGTGCTTTACTACCTTTGAATTGGTGAGACACTCATCTCCTTTTTCTTCAATCAGCAAACTCTTGATATTCTTTAACTTGAAGTAAAAATATGGGAAGATAACGGTAATAGGCTTCAAAGGGGGGATTGCACCTATCAAACCCCCCTGCTTCCCTGTTGGTTATATAAAAATAAAGGATTATTTCAGCTCCAAGGTTACATGTTTTGATCATGTGGGTCCTTCATTTCTTGAAACATTGTATCTGACACTGACTATTGTTGAGATTATGAATCTTACCTTGTTGGTCTTCCATAAATGCTGTACAGAGTGTTTGTTGCCCTTACAAATTCCACCATTCTGTTTTAAATTTACATCCGCCTCATATAGAAGTTGTGATTGTTTTAGGAAAAATAGAAATTAGAGTTGACAGTTTTTCATATGCTATCGGGTCATCTTGTTAGTGTATGGGTGTAACTTTGGTATCACTCAGGAAGAAGACTTGGACTGTGTATGCTTAGTAATGTTGCTGTTAGGTATTTATGATAGCCCAAAAAGAGGTTTTTTGACTTTAAACTTTCTTTTTGTGTTGACTATCTACTTGGGGCTCATTTGTGGTTCTATACAAATCTTGTGTTGCAGGTAACAATTGATGGAGACAAAAAAGATGGATCTAGTGGCCAATATGATAGCATCTGTAATGCAAGGTTGCCAAAAGGACTTGATCCTCATTCAGTTCCATCTGACGAGCTGAGTGCTTCTTTAGGGTAATTTCTTATGCTTGATTAACACATAAGTCACTTTTCCAGTAAATCCAGCTGCACAATTATTAAATTTCTGACATATAATGTGGCTTTCAAGAGTCTAAGTATATGCAGAGCCATTATACGGTGACAATGAGTTTCCTCTGTTAATTGTCATAATCTCATCTGAATGTTTCAATTTTTATCATGCATTGTTTTATTTGAACAATGTTTACATTATTGACCAGTAGTTGTGGACTATTTGATTTGGAGTGCCATGGATTTCTATCAAAGTAGATCATTGGCCACTCTTTCTTTTTTTTGCATTCAAGTAGGACAGAATAGTGATAATCCCTATACCGGTAGCAATTATGATTTGGGTGCTACTGTCAGGATCCTATTTCTTTCTTTTCAATGTCAGGTTTTGACATTCTTCTTGCTATTTTGTGAATTTCTCACGTGTTAATTCATGTACTTGGAGGTGAGGGTTGTTTAGCCTGGTCATGTCTGTAAATATAGGAAGGGTTTATCAAAGCCTTAGAGGATAGTTGTTAGGTTTTTTTCTGGATGTGGGGATTCATTGGTTAAGGTTTAAGTTGCCTTATGCTATACAAGAATTGAAGAAGGCTTTTCCAAGAACTCAAAATCAAAAAGAAATTGGAAAATACTATCATTATGATATGGTCACTGGAAGATGACATACTGACCATGTATCCCCTTATGCTCCAAGGTCTTGTTATTATGTGTAGTGGGATTGAATTCAGTTCTTCATTTTTTGGTGCTGCAAGTAAATGAATAGTTAGTTGTAGATAAGCCATGAGTGCTATTTGCTGATTAAGGTGCGCAGAATGAATCCAGTCATTGCAAAAGCATGAGGTGAAATGCATGTGCATACATTTCTTAGGGATACCCAGATCCCACTAGTGGGATTACGCTGGGTATGTTGTTGTTTTAAATTTTCTTGGGATGTCGTTTATCTGGTGTATTTTGGAATCTTATATTTCCTCTGCTCCATTTTAATGGGACACTATTTCCTAATTTGTCCGTTCCATAAAGAATGATACCTTATATATTTGGAAATGTAACTTTAAACTTCTGGTTTTACCCTTTAATAGCATGCTGTTATAGACACACGAATCTCATGGCATGTTTAAGATCACTAATTCCAAAAATCTTCTTTTTTTCTTTTACTCCATGTCAAGTCAAACTATGCCATATAAATTGAAATGGAGGAAATATCATTTACGGTAGCAAATTGAGTTATGTAAAGAGTGTTTGGATTGACTTAAAAAGTTGGTCAAACCTACTTTTAAGTCAGCTTTGACTTCAGGCAGTTTTGGCAAATATAAAAATAAACTTAAAATAAGTCAAAAATATCTTAAAATAATGAGAAAGTGTTTGACAAGGTTAAATTTAACTTAAAATAAGTCAAAACCCCAAATAAGGTCTCCTCTCTACTTTTTATTTATTTATGTTTGTTTTTTACTTTTTGACTTGAAAGCTACTTTGTTTAAGTAATCCAAACGGGCTCGTACTACTGCCATTGAAATGAAGCACTGCCTATTTATTATCCACATGTTGAGTTGATTGAGATAATCATCCAATGTATTTACTATCTATTTGTAGAATATCAATTTTGGCTGGTTGATAACATATTCTAATGATTTTATTTTCGACGATTGAAAGCAGATATATGGTGCAACTTTTGAACCTCGTTGTTCGTTGCGTCTGTGCTCCTGCACTTCATAATTCAGGATTTGCGGTATGCTCAGACAACCTTCTGTAGATTTTTTTAGTAGTTGAGTCTCAAATGCCTTGCATTAATGGGACTATTAGAGCTGAATAAGTGCAAAAGTCTTTATTTCTAGAATTGTTGCAATTTTATTTAATGCTAGAGGTATAGCAAAACAATTTTCTAAAGCCTTTCAGACCGTAGTGAATGCACCTGCCTTTTTGGCAATGCATGGCTCATAATGGTCAAAGGATAACCTGTTTGTTTTATCTTGAATCCGGAACAAGTTTTTTTAAATCCTCATGTGTCTGTTTATTACACAAGGGTTCATGTTCTCGAATATGGCAACGAGATTCTTACTGGGATGCCCGTCCGTCGTCTAGAAGGTATTTCTTTAATTGTAATGTATAAATTCATTGTTCCTTCCCCATTTAAAGAGGACTTTCTTACTGATGTTACTCGTGCAATGCAGCGGCGAGTACCCACTTTTTATTCCGCGCCAAAACTTTTGCTCTTCAGGTGGGGAAGCTTCATGGTACGACAGAAGTAGCAGTAATTCTGGAACTTCAAGTAACTTTGGAGTTACCTCGATGGAATCTGATAGAAAACCTCGGTTGGATTCTTCCAGTAGTAGTAGTTTCAACTATGCTTCTGCTTCCCTGCACTCAATAGAAACGCACAAGGATCTGCAGAAAGGCATAGCACTTCTCAAGAAAAGTGTAGCTTGCATTACTGCATATTGTTACAACACATTATGTTTAGAAGTTCCTGCTGAAGCCTCTACCTTCGAAACATTTGCAAGATTGTTGGCTACACTTTCTTCTTCAAAGGAAGTTCGGTCTGTTTTTTCTTTGAAGATGTCTGGTTCAAGGTACATATTTCTCGCATTTATGTATCATAGTTCTAGATCTGTTCTCATATTATTCAGTGAAAGAAATTTTCTTCTCATATCATTGGAACTTCTGATTTATTCAGCAGTGGCCTGTATTCAGTCATTCAATGCTATGATTTGTAGGGCATCCAAGCAAGTCCAACCACTGAACAAATCTGTTTGGAATGTAGATTCAGCCGGATCATCTAGCACTTTGATGGAGAGTGGACATGTGCCAGTATTGGTATAGTTTCTATCTTTGGATTCAGTTCAACGTAGTATTGGAATTAAAAACATTGGTACTAGTATTTTGGGTGCATATGCTCCTCTATTTTTGGTATAGATGCATAGGTCTTAGTATTGGTTTCATAACTACAAAAGACATGAGCTTTTCTGTATATAATGTTTGTTTCTATTGAGCATTATATGATTGTCTACTATTCATTAGCAGTGAAATGCATCATGCACTCTTGATGATGACAAATCTTCTTTTATCGACGTCTACAAATCTTTTCCTTTGCATTCTTGCTGTATGCAGTAGTTTATTGAAAAAAAAAGACCTTATGCTAGGGAAAGATGAACTCAATGACAATGAACTTCTATGATAAGTAGGGTCTCACATAACTACATACTTCGTAACAATTGAGCTAGCTATGTATGCAAAAATAATTTTTTCCTACGACTTCAATTGAGCAATTTTTGTGCTAATTAAGTTCTCTTATAATTTTCAGAACTTGATTAAAAGTTTTTTTTAGGGAAGCATATGTTTTAGTAAGAACGGCAAAGTATTAATCCGTTCCCTTTTAGAAAGTTAGCTTCAAACTAATTTATCAAATATTTCCTCTTATTGACAAGTAATCTTCTCATTCTAAGAACTGTATATCACTGTATCTAAAAATGGCTGTACGCATCTCCCGTGTAAATTGCCTGCAAAGTATAGATAATCCACAAATCCTGCAGCTCCAATTTCTTTAATATTTTTTGGAATTGTTGCTGTGATTTTCAGGACGTTTCAGCGTAGTTTACTGGTGGATTTGTTTTAGTGACTATGATAACTGGGGCATAACAATATGAATTTTTTTGTGAACTGGCCTATTTGTTTTCTTATTAGTTTTATTGTTGCAACGATACTTTTTTTTGCTTTTCTAGTATAAATAAATTTTGAAAGTAGTTAACAACAAAGCTAATTACATTAATGACTTTGCAGAGAAATACATTTGAAAAGTCTCTTCCAAGTTCTGGTGGCAATTTAATGTATGCCACTGAAGTATCCAATGTAGGAAGGAATGAAAATTTAATTGAAGACTGGGATCTTATTGAGCACCCTCCTTTTCCTCCTCCTCCATCACATACAGAAGATGTTGAACATTGGACCCGAGCCATGTTTATTGATGCAACAAAGAAATAAGCCACTTCTTGGATGGCTACTTCATTGTATATAGTGCCAGAGCTCATGAAGGTAAAGTGAGCTTTTTTTGTCACGTTAACATAACATGCTTATTAATAACCCTGATAAGTGTGATTCTTTCAGATTTCTATAATTTTGGGTTTAATATAATTCCATTCCTAGTGTTCAATTCTGTCTAATATCTGAATTGTCTTGTTTTTTTGAGTAATTTGAAAATACATATAGACAATACTAGCAAATCCAGGCTTCTTTGCTGAGTTTGCATGCTTGCATACTCAATTTTCTGGTCTTTCGTAGTGTCTGGGTTCTTTCTTCACGCTTATCTGTAAATATACGTTCATGATGTGGCATTAAATGTGTTTGTATGGGTGATGTATAACTGCTCGATACTAAACCTCTTGATGATGGCCTTTTTGTTTGAAACCGTAGGAAGTTTAGAACTGATCATGGGTATTAGGCAGATAAGAAGTGCTGGAAATCATAAGTGATCAACATGTTGGCATCTCTAAAGCATTTTGTTTTTTCACCTGTTTGATCTTCTTCTTTTGACTCTTCAGATTGAATTATAAAATAACTTCCCTTTTTTCTTTTTTTGCTGCTCGTGCTTCATAGACATCCAAGGACGGAGAGATGTTTCTGAGCTTCACCAGTCTCTTGGAGGAAAATAGCTTGTAAAATTGACTTTTAAGTTCAACATTCATGAGTTGTAAATAGTGTTAAGGTGGTTCTATCTTCGTGTATGGGAACTGTAGGATCTTTATTTTACTAGCACCATATTCTCATACAGCTTTATAGAAAGCGTGACGTTGTTGCACCGTAGCAAACACACCCATAGTTTGATAATATGTTTTCACCACCTCTATCCTCTACCCCCCTCTTGTTACAAAATCGATCTTCTATGACTCTTAGCTAGAGATCCTCAAGTCATGGTAAGATCAATAAATACATGTGATCTTTTAGTTTAAATGTATAGTTGAAATAGGTAGAAAGGATTTCATCACTGTATTTTATAAAAGTTACAGCATGAGCATTGAACATCCAAATAGAATAAGATAGTTTTGCTTCAATTGTCAAACATCAGAAGTGTTGGTTCTTGTCTAGCTTTAATCAAAAGGTGGACCTATTTTAATTTGAAATGAAGAATCGAATAACTTTTCAACAACAATAATTTGAAATGATCATACTCAGAAACTATTGATTAATTTATCCATTAATCAAATGATGATATTCAGAGCTGAGTATTATATCAATGATTTCGTAGATTTTCTTGATCTTGTGTGCAAGTAGAAACTATTGGTGATAGATAATTTACTTGATAACGAGGCATGTTAAAAATTGAAGGGAGAATCTTGTTTGCTCAAATAAAAGCTCCAAAGTTCTTGATAACTTCAAATGCAAGGTAATTAAAAAGCATAATGGATGATTCTCCTTGTCAAAGTTAAACTAACTTCAGGTGGTCATTTGTTCACTTCTTCCTCTTCTTTGGAGGCTGGATAGCTTCTTCTTCTTCATCCTCTTCATCATCATCTTCTGGATCGTCGTCCTCTACGACTTCTTCTTCACCCTCTCCTTCTTCAGCTTCTTCATCATCATCATTATCATCGTCGCCATCATCGTCGTCGTCACCGTCATCATCATGACCTTCTTCACCAACATCCTCTTCATCTTCTGCATCTCCGTTCTCCTCACCTTCTCCATTGCTTTTCTTGGCATTTCCTTTGCTTTTGTTTCCATGAACCCCTTCATCAGAGTACTCTTCTTCACCCTCCTCAAAGCCTTCATTTCCATTCTCATCGTTGTCGTCTCCATCTCCACCTTCCTCATCAGCATCAACTACTTTGGTCTGCTCATCATTTGTGTTCTGATCTCCCTCGACTTTGGTCTCAATTGCCAACAGTGGCACACCATCCTGGAATTATTTAAAGACATCACTATAAATGAATATTCTAGGAATATAATGAAATATTCATGAACTATACTTGATTTTTCACCTTATTGGCTAAGGGTTTCAGTTCCCACCTTGTAATTCCTTCTCTCTACCCTTTAGTAAAGTAGTTTGTTCAAGCCCATAGATATTCATCACTCATACTATACAAACTCATTACACATGCCCAAGTGCATCAATGTTTTCCTAGCTAGTGTCAGATATTCGTATTGAGCGATTCACGCCAGGAAGTCTCGACTCTTACCTTATGAAGTAAAACGCTCCCTAACAAAGGTGAAGCCCAAGGGAATCGAACTCAACTACTCAAACTGAAATGAGCCCATATTGCATACTTGGGCTTATTGCAAATTGGACCTGGACAGATGGGACAATTTTAAGCCCAAGTTCACAGCTAAAAAGTGTGAGCCCAAAACTTGGACCATCCCCTACTATTTGAAGTACATGTATTTATAGCTATGTTAAATGTGTGAGACCAACCTAATAAGTAAACATAATATAATCTTGATAGAATATTCCCATATAATATTCTCATAAGACTGAGTCAACCTAAAAAACATGTTTTTACAAATCAATATTTTACTCTTAACATCCTTTTTTATATTAAACAGAATTTAATTATTTCTTCAAAAATACCAAATTAGTAATTAAAAAAAAACTAAAATTAGTCCCACTATTTTGCAGAAATTTAACATAATTGGCAGTATATTTGGTGGGCCCCGCATTCATTAACTAAACCCCGGAACCCAAAATGACATATATAAGCCAAATTTAACATTCCGTTTCAGTTCCGAACACGAGAATAAACCCGTATCGTTTAGGCGCACGTTAGTAACTGCACACGTTGAAAAAGTGGTGAGGAAGTTAATGCAACGTAATCCTATTTTTAGATATTATCTTCTTGAGTTTTTTGGGTCAGCTTGGCGGTGGATAGATATTTTAAAAACTTCAAAATGAAGTTTTCATAATTTTTACTTCAAATTACTCATTTTCAAAAAAAAAAGTACTAATTTGTATTCGCATCCAACCGTAATTTCAATACTCAAATATCATTTTCAATTCACATGATTCTTTTTCTTTTTCAAATTCACAATTTCTATGGCTTAATGAAAAGCCATAGCTAGGCGGGAAATCACTAATTTTTCTGTAGATTTTATATTTGTTATAAAAAAATTAATTAAATATATATATATATATATATATATTAATTTGATACTCATAAAATTAATTGACAGTTAGTATCAAATTAAAATTCTCATATTCTAAATTTTGACTCCGTCTTTGACGGAAAGGGCCTTAAATTCTGAAAATTACGTATAGAAAACTAAATTTCTGCAGTCTCATTTTTACTAAGCGGTTAATCCAAAACAAAAAAAAATAGAGAGAAGAAAAACACTGGATTTCTGAGAAAAACAAAAAAGAGACTTTCTTTCTTAGGTTTACTATTTTATATTTTAAATTTTTCTCACTGAAAAACTCGATACCGACATACGTGTTCCAATATTTTATATACACTAATGAATTTGAGTTGAATTTCCACTCATCATGGTAAAACAATAGTATAGTTTTTTTTAAAAAAAATAAATATAAAACACAGGATATAATTTTTTCCAGGTTAAAAAACTGGCAATTTTTTACTGAAGTACTAACCTGAGTGGAGGGTAAAAGCGTGGAAGCGCACGTTAGCACAGTGTTGTTAAGCATAATCTCCATTTGTACGGTCAATTAGTTTTCCACTCCACACCTTCACACCAACAACAAATCATATCGACCTGACAGTTAACATCGACTCATCTGGAAAAATTATCATCCATAATTTTCACAATTGAAAAAACCAATACAGTAATATATAGCCAAAAAAACAAAATTTAACCTATCATACCAATATTTTTTTTTTCTTCTAAAAAATGACAAGTCACAGAATTCTAAACTTGAAGATCTACGAAGAAGGATGAAGGAAACTACTATTACTTCAAAAAAAAAATAAAGTTTATGTTATAAGCAAAGGTGTAAAAAGGAAATGGAAAATTCCGGCGACAAAATAGAAAATTCCGGCATTTTCCGGGAAAATGTAAGCTTTAGTGAGAAAATTGTTACCTGAGAAAATATGAGAGAGAAAAAAGGTAAATTGGTAAGAGAGTATTACGCAAAGTTCAGATTAAACGGAGGAAAATAAGGAGCAGCATCTAATGCTTCGTTCCTACTACCCATTGGTGAAATGCGTGGGTCCCACTTCTCTACCCTTATATTTTTGGAATAGTTACATATTGGTCCTTGAGGTATCTTATAATACAAGTTGTATCCCAATTGTAGAAAGTTGTTAGAAATTTCAATTGTGGTTTTTCTAATTTAATTATATTTCTTGGCATGGATCTTTTTCTATGGGTTGGTTGAAAAAATATGGAGATTTGTGTACCCACTAAGATACTATTTCTATTTTCAAATTTTAATTTATAATTATAGTGATCGAGTCAGTACATTTTTCTATAAATTTTATTAAATACATATTACTTATTGTTAATAATGAGTATCAGATAACTCTATCTATTAAGTGTCCGTTTAGATTGACTTATTTTAAGTATTTTTAAGCCAAAATGGTTTTTAAAGCGTTTGGGTAAAGTTTAAAAGTATTTATAAACATTTATTTTAAAGTCAAAATAATAAAAATAAGCCAAAATCACAAGTTATAAATCCTTAACTTATGACTTTCGACTTATAAGTTATAACCAAAAGTCAATTCAAAAGGCCGTGAGACTATATTAAAGAGAAGAAAAAAATACCTAGTATTTTTATTTTGACTAAGAATATGTTAATAAATTATTATACTATAGCATAAGTTATATGTATGAATCAGTCAAGGAAGAAAGATAATGGAAATGATGAGACATAAAAAAATACTTGCTATAATATAAACAACTACTATTAAAATAAGGTGAGCTTAAGAATGAAGATAGATTGACTTTAGAAAAATTAATATGTATTTCTGTGAAAATTTCTAACAAAATCCATCATACACTGCAAAGATTATTTTGTTAAAATGGTGGCTCGCGTGGAGGAGGATTGCCTAAGCTTTATAACGAGTCCACCCATCTCATTAATTATTGATATGGAATTTTTGTCATTCTTTAACAGAAAAAAAAATAGTAACAATGTTTTTATATTAAAAAATTATAAATTTTCATTATTTCATTGAAATATATTTTTCAAGGAAAATTAATAGAAAAACAATTTTCACTGTTTCTCGATGAAAACAATTCTTGTGTTTCTGATAGTGTGAGTCTTCAATCAAAAAATTGAGGTAAATTAACTTATTATGATCGATTAATTTACGTCGATATCAATTTTGTCATTTTAAGTAAACGTATTAATACGTATTAGTTGTTTGAATTTTTGAACTAACAATTCGATCCAATATAGTATATCTTTCTTTTTTTTATGACAAGGAAAATCCACAATCTCTACCAGCATTATTTAACATGTTTTATTGTTGTGAAAAAAAATTCTTTCATTCCCTTTAGAAAAAGTATGATGAAAAAAATGGAAAAAAACTTTGGGCTCAAGTATTTTGTTTACCAAATTAGAGGCATTTGGATCCAATAGTTGGTTGGCCAATCAGTTCGCATTTTCCCTTTGAAGCTTATATACATAGATTAATTATATTTATATTTTACAATAATTTTGTATCTTATCACTAATTTTGAGGAAGATACACCTACATATATACTTATATTTTTACTAATCAATACATTAAAATAGGGAGAAAGGGAAGTGAAATAGTTATGTATCTAATATACATGTGAAGCACACAGTATACATGTATCTGGTTTGAATTCTATATACATAAGACAATAGCGAGTTAAATAGAGAGATGCGAGCGAAACGAATCTATTTCGATACAGTGTCTCTAAAGCCTCATTTGTTTCCGTTACAATTAAGAGGTCTGAATCTGAATACACATCTGAATATTAAGATTTGCATTAAGATCTGGGTGTTTTGATCTGAATGCATGCACATCTGAATATTAAGATGTGGTCTTTAAATCTGAACACTAACTCATTAATGTTGTTTGTTTTCAATATCTGATTGTGCAAGTGAAATACTAACATTATATTAAATATTATAAAATTTTCATTTCAACAAAATATATCATTTTTGATAAAATAAAAAAGTTTTAAAATTTTTAATAATTATTGATTTTAGAGTACTATTTTTTCATTTAAAAAGCTTGATAAACAACATCACACCAAAAATACTATTGCAACCAGTATTCTTGACACACGTCAATACAAGAAAATTATTTATATAAAAAAAAGTACTTGAAAGGATTTTTGAAAACTTACCAGTTCAAGAGGGAAAAAATAGTGTTTGATTGAGAAACGAGAGAGAGAGAAAGGTTTTAGTTATGAGATAAAATGGTACGCACAAAGCAGAGAAGCGATGATTTATTATTTGATAACTTATCATATGAGTCTGAATATTGTTAAGAGTCTCCTAAAGATCTGATTCGTTCAAACCTCTTCAGTTCCATTAAGAGTTTTTTTTAAAAAAATAAAACAAATGAGCTTAATTGGCTGAATCTGAATGATTCGAATTCAGACCTAAAAATCAAAAGTACTTAATGGGCTGAATCTGAATTATTAAAATTCATATCTCCATTAAGTGCAAACAAATGAGGCCTAAATAAATTACACCTAATTTTGATTCCTGTATCTCAAAATACATGTATCTAAAGGTATCTTGACACACCAAAATCTAATAAAATTTGTAATCTTACAAACTTGAATATAATTAAAATTATTAGGTCATAAACTAGGCAAATCTGTAAATTGATGATCAATGCTAGTTTGTATCATATTTTCTCAAGGGAGTAAAAATCACAATGAGCAATTTTAGGATATAAGACAATTAATTACTATAACCTAAGAGACTAAATCCTAGCCACTTAAGCAGTCAAATTTTGCAGCTTAAAGAATGAGTACAGAAAAAGATGCCTCAAGAATATATTCTTTATAAACTTTACAATAAAACTTTTAAAAATGCAATTTGCTTTTACTCTTTTCAGGATTCTACTTCAACTAGCCAATGTAATCCTCTAACAAAAGCATAAATTTCTTTACCCAAACGCATGGGAAATTGATCAAAGTGAAGCACAAAACTTTAGCCTAAAGATTTACATGATAAACAACAAAATAGACATTCACACACTAATTTGTTAGAGCAAATATTTTTCTGAACACACCCATTATAGGCTTGAGTTCGATATTCTACCATAGTCCTTGCATAAATTAAAATTTATTATTTGTACTTTTTGTGAAATCTGTAATACGTATGCATGATTTGAAGTTTTTTTTAATCAAAGTTATTGAGTTCAAATTAAAAAAAAGGCTATAACATCTTTACACACAAACTTGGTATAACTTGTCTCTCATTGAAGCCCAACCAAGAACAAATAAAGGCCCATAGAAAATTGAAACTTATACAAGTGTGTGAAGTTGTGGGTGTGGAGAATGAACGGAATTCATCTACTTTAATTAGAGGTTTTGAATTTAAACTTTCCTGACGGAGAAACTCTTAAAAGAAATTTTAATGATTTACGCAATATTAATCTAGATTAGTCAAATCAATCAATTTCGGATGTTGGATAGTTAAACGTAATCGAAATATGTTCAAGAATTACCTAGATCAACACTACACAAAGATATATTCCCACACAACTGTTCAATCTTGCTCCTTCCTAAATTATTATTAAAACCCAAATCATCATTAACTATATATATCTCATCCACTATAGTCACCTAATACCAACACTAGAAAATGGTCTAAGAAAATGTTTCTAGTTAACATAATTTTTTCCACAGAATTTGTTAAATTTTATACCAAAACAAACCCTAAACCAGAATAGGGAATGCTAAACGATATTCCCTCGGTTTCAAAAAAATTGACCTAGTTTGAATTGAAACGGAGTTTAAGAAAAAAATAAGATTTTTTTAATCTTGTGGTTCTAAATTAAAGTTATGTCAAATGTACCAATATGACCTCTAATCTTGTGGTCTTAAATATGTCACGTGGGGAAAGTTAAAGTTAAATTGTTGTTAAAAAGGGAAAAATGTCATTCTTTTTTAAACAAACTAAAAAAGAAATAGGAACATTTTTTTTAAGGGAAAATTACATGGGATGGCAAACATCCCTATGTAATTAGTTAATAAGGGTATAGTTTAATTTATTTACGGTCAGTATATACAGTTTCAATTTTTTTGCTATAATTAATGGGACCCACTATCTATTTATATACAGAATAAAAATAGTCATCCAAAGATTTTTATATAATTTTATTCAAAATCAAATTTATCTCTCCTATTCTCATTCCGTATCTTTTCCTAAAATTACTCTTCCCTTCTAATTTGAATTTCCATTGGGAAAATTTGACCTTCTCCCTCCGATGTTCTTCCACTTTTCGTAGATAACTGCCAAATTCATGGCTTTCAATATTTTTTTTCTTGATTCCTTCTACAACAATTGTATATGTAGTATGATTGTTAGTTTTTTCATATTTTTTAAAAAAATCTTTATTACTTATTAATTTACAAGTCTTTCAAAATCAGAATAGATGATTTTTGTCCATGTATGAGGATTACGAGAGGTATGTCATTGCATGTCAATGTTGTTGATAATCCACCTTCGTTTCAATTGGGTTAACTCATGATTTTGGGTTAATGTAAGGTCTATGACAAAACATAAACAAGTTTAAGTTGAACAATCTATTGAAGAATTGAGATCCATGAAAAAATATGACCCAATGACAATTCATAAAGTCATCAACAACGACTTATATACAAATTACAAAGTTATATATATAGTGGTTTGTATATTAAGTTAATATATATATAAAGTATTATGAAACAGTTCGTAATTGCATATTCTATTAGTTGTATACCAATTACTAAAGTTAGGTATATAGTGGGTTGTATATTAAGGTAACATATACAAAGTCTTATGAGGCGATAGCTATTTGTATACAATTATTTAATTTTGTATAAAGAAATTTGTAAATCACTCTATAATATTATAATACATTATACAAATTCGTCGATATATACAAAAAATTATGAACATAATAAAATATTGTATATATAAACGTCATACCCTCAAATATAGGAACATATTTCAAGCTTACTATATATACAATTAACAAATGAAAATTATATACAATCAGTTTAATCATTAATACTTTAAAAAAACATGAAATAACATATGCACA